AGATTAGAAGAAAAACACTCACGCTGGTGTAAGCTGTTCCCAATTTCGATTCGAACGATTTGAAAAGAGATGAATTACGGACATCGTTCCACTTGTGTTTCACGGTGTCTGCAGTTGCTGCAGCGACTTCAGTTGTTTTTTGGAAACTGCAAATGATATCAAGGTGAGAGGTGCGGCTAATCCAGATGGTGCTCAAGGGTAAAAACCGCAGTAACTTCGCGTTCCACTAAATAAGACCAATTTTCAACTGCATTCAGAAAAATAAAAGATAACCAATCAAAGTAACACAGCAATCATTAAGTACCCGTCCACAACACCAGGGTGGAAATACTATCCCTCTTGGAGGAAAGCTGTCTTCACGAGCAAATTGAAGTAAGATGGGATGTTTCCAGAAAGAGAAATGTAAACTGCTCTGAAAGAGAAACTGCGCTCAAAAACGGGACTGCAGGTCCTAACCTGTGTGGAAGCGTTCACTGCTCTTAATATGAACGGCAAATCCCCGAACTGACACTGCCAGATTAGAAAACGAGCAGGGTCAAGCGAGGAAATTAAGCCCAGCCGAGCGCACTTCAAAACCAATAAGCTCAGTGGCAACAATCTCGTGCCATTCAACGGGCTTATCTCCGACACAATATAGGCACGTCTTTAATAGGTCGAAAAAGATTTTACGGTGAAATTCACTGATCAAGGCAAAACCAATCTTGATAGAACAAAAAAAGAACTTACGCTTCCGTATCAGTGACAGCCTTTAGTCCTTTGTTGATATCATTTCCAAGCTCAACCAATGGATTCAAACCCAGCTTACGCTTTAGCTCGGATGCATGCTTCTGACGGGCAAGAAGAACCTGTTTCAACGTTTGAATTTCTTCTTCAGTCTGAAAAAAAACATAATAGTGAAAATTGAATGACCGAAACAAGTTGAAGCTCGCTCAAGATGAGATAACCTTTCTCAATTCTTCCTTCAGAATAGCAGTTTCAGCATCACTTAGTTGTGTCGTACCATCGTAAGTATCGAACACGGGGTCAGCAGCTATAACTTGTTCAAATTACTGACATTGAATAAACTTATGAAAATCAGGCGAAAAGCAATATAACAGCAAAATCGAATCCAATTAACAAACTCCCCAATACGCTCTCCATCTGGGCTCGAGTGCGTAATTTCTAAATAGGTAGCCAGAACAGAATAGGCTCAATAAACCGGTATTGCAGAGCGCTGAAAACAGCAACTTCCACGGACCAATCCTTGGTGGTGTGAAGGAAAAGAGCTGGGAGAATGGAACTGGTAATGCATCACTTCCCCAACCATATGATTCGCCACCCATATGACTCAAGGTATGAATTAGTGAAAACTCCCGACTTCAAAAAGCTTGAGAGCGAGCACTTCCCTCAATGACATTTGAACAACACTTCAGATCACCAACTGGTAGACGATGGATCCTCTCTCCATACACGGTGCTATATTTTACAAACTCTTTAGTTGTATCCGTGCTGCTCTCATCT